GGAGAGCTTCCAGGTGGGTGACCATGTGAAGATGTGGGGAGAGTGATGTGCCCGGCCGTGCCCGGCCCCCAGCCCTGTGCACCTCTCCCAGCTGGCTGTCCCTGAGTCATGTCCTGTCACAGTAGACTGGTGTAATGTTTCTCTGAGCTCGGTGAGCCACTCGAGCAAATTAGTCAGCTCAGAGGAGGGGTGGGGAATGCGGTGCAGGAACCAGGATCTGCATAGCTGGTGGGTCTGGAGGCCGGTGACAGCCTGGTGCTGGGACTGGAATCTGAGCTGGGCGGTGGGGGGGTGGTCTTGTGGGACTGAGCCTTTAGCCCGTGGGATCTGATGCTGCCTCCAGATAGATAATGTCAGAATTGACTTGAATTTTTTTTTTAATTTTTTTAACATTTATTTATTTTTGAGACAGAGAGAGACCGAGCATGAACGGGGGAGAGGCAGAGAGAGAGGGAGACACAGAATCAGAAGCAGGCTCCAGGCTCTGAGCCATCAGCCCAGAGCCTGACGCGGGGCTCGAACTCACAGACCATGAGATCGTGACCTGAGCCGAAGTCGGATGCTTAACGGACTGAGCCACCCAGGTGCCCCAGAATTGACTTGAATTTTAAGATACCCAGCTGGTATCGGAGAGCTGCTCGGTGGTGTGGGGGGGAAAAAAAGCCACATCAGAATCGGTGTCAGAATCGGAGCCACCTCCTTCCCGTGTCCTCACTGGTCGTCCCTCTGTGTCTGTGTCTTAATCTCCTCTTCTTATAAGGGCATCAGGCATATTGGATTAGGACCCATCATATGACCTCATGTAACATAATTACCTCCTTAGAGAGGAGGTGTATCTGTCTCCAGAGACAGGCACTTCTGAGGTATGAGGGGGGTAGGACGTCAACACAAGAATTTAGCAGGGACACAATGCAGCCCAGAGCAGCCTGCTACCCTGTGTGTGTAACCTCTTAGCTCACAACGTGCATTCTCTTTCACTGCCGTGAGTAACAAATCCAACGTGTTCGATTCCAAGGGCGTTCCTGGTGGTCTTTGGCTTAAGAACGCCCGTGGCGGCAATAATTTGACTCTGAGGAAGGGAAGCAGAAACTCTTGGTGGGCGGAGGGAAAGGGGAGGTGGCTTCCCTCTTTTAAAAGGAAGCCTTTACATTTAAAGAGGAGAGCAAAGTGACCCCAGCCCCCATCCCTGCCCTTGGGCTGTGGGAGGTCTTAGCTCAGGCCTCCCCCAGGAGACAGGGAGTGACTTTGGACGCCAAATGGATGTTTTGGTACTGAGTTAGGCTGGACTATTGACCCGTTGAAATTGGGACAGTTGGAAAACCCCAAAATGGCAAGAAAATTTGGAAGATCTGCTCCAGATATAGCCGTGGGGGAGGGAAGGGAGACTCAGGCAGATGGTGTGTGAAGGCTGGGTGAGAAAGAATAAAGCTGTTTCCTGTTCACGCCAGTGAGCCCAAACCTTTTTTTTTTTTTTTTTTTTTTTTACTATCCTATCTTTTCTTTTTCATTTGAATTTTTTTAAGTAAAATTTTTATTTTAGAATAGTTTTAAGTTTACAGAAAAGTCACAGGCTGGTACAGAGAGTTCCTGTACCCCCTTCACCCGGTTTCCCCTGGTGTTAGCATCACTCATGGCTATGGTACGCGTGTCACGGCTGATGAGCCAATGTCGAGGCATCATTGTTAATGGACGTCCGCGTTTTATTAGGAAGGATCTTCTTAGTTTTTACCGAGTGTCCTTCTGAGCCTGGATCCCGTCCAGGGGGACACATTCTGTCATCATATCTCTTTATGCTCCTCTTGGCTCTGATGGTTTCTCAAAGTCTTCTGGTTTTGAGGAACACCAGCCAGGTGTTTTGTAGAATGTGCCTCAACTGGGGACTGGCGGATTTTTTTCTCATAATTAGAGTAGCGACACGGGGAAATACCATTTTCATCACCCCATATGGAGGGCTTAATCAACACGACTTACCACGGCTGGTGCTGGCCCTAATCCCTGGGAGGCAGTGTTTGTGAGGCCTCGGGACTACAAAGTTACTCTCTTCCTCCAATTGTCATGCTGTTCCCTCTAGAAAGAAGTCCTTATGCTCAACCCAACCTTGAAGAGGAGAGAGTTTTCCTCCACCTCCCTGAGGGTAGGATAGCAGCATAAGTTATTTGTAATTATTCTGCATGGGAGAGCTGTCTTTTCTCTCCTGTTTATTGCATTTATTACTTTATCATTTATACCATTTTGGACTTAGGGATATTTACTTCATTTTTGGGTTGTGATCCAATACTGCATCATCTATTCTGTTGCTCTAATTAGAGCCCTGCTCTTTTCTCCTCAATATTTTGCTATGAAAATTTTCAAACATAAAAATGTTGAAAAAATATTCCAGTGGGGAGGAAAAAAACCCAAATAGTCCAATTATAAGATGGGCAAAGACTGTGAATAGATAATTTTCCAGAGAAGACATCCAGATGGCCAACAGGGCATCAACATCGCTCATCATCAGGGAAATGCAAATCAAAACCACAGTGAGCTAAGAATGGCTAAAATTAAAAAAAAAAAAAACCCCTAGAGATAAATGTTGGTGAAGATGTGGAGAAAAGGGAACCCTTGCACTGTTGGTGGGAATGTAAATCGGTGCACCTGCTCTGGAAGACAGTATGGAGGTTCCTCAAAAAATTAAACAGGAATACCTATAATTCAGCAACCCCATTCTTGGTATTTACCAGAAGAAAACGAAACCACTAACTCAGAGATATCTGAGTATATGTGATGTATATATGCAAAATGGAATATTATCCAACCATAAAAATGGAAGAAATCCTCCATCTATGACAACATGGATGGACCTCGAGGGCGTTATGCTAAATGAAATAAGTCAGGCAGAGAAAGACAAATACCACATGCTCTTATTCACATGTAGACTCAAAAACACCAAACTCATAGATACAGACAACAGATTAATCCTTGGTAGGGGTGGGGTGGGGGTGGGGGGATGAGTGAAAGTGATCAAAGGGTACAAACTTTGCACTTACAAGATTTAAGTGCTGGCGATCTAATGTACAGCATTGACTGTAGTTAGCAACAGCATATTGTATAGTTGAAAGTTGTCAAGGGGCGCCTGGGTGGCTCAGTGGGTTAAGCGTCCGACTTCGGCTCAGGTCATGATCTCGCGGTCCGTGAGTTCAAGCCTCTTGTGGGGCTCTGAGCTGACAGCTCGGAACCTGGAACCTGCTTCGGATTCTGTGTCTCCCTCTCTCTCTCTGCCCCTCCCCTGCTCGTTCTCTCTCAAAAAATAAATAAACATTTAAGAAGTTAAAAAATGAAAGAAAGTTGTCAAGAGAGCAGATTATGAAAGCTCTTACCACACACACATACAAAACATAACTATGTAAGCTCATGGATGTGCTAACTAACTTTATGTGATAATCGTTTTGTAATATATACATATGTCAAATCGTTATGTTGTACACCTTAAACCTACACAGTGTTTTGTATCAATTATATCTCAGTACAGCTGGACAAAATAAGAAATATTATGGTGACTATGTAGATTCTACTGTTAATATTTTTGCTTTATTACGTATCTGTCCCTGTGTCAATCCATCTTTTTTTTTTTTTACATTTTTTTTAATACTTATTTTTTGAGAGAGGGGAGGGGACAGAGGGAGACACAGAATCCGATCCAGGCTCTGAGCTGTCAGCACAGAACCCTATATGGGGCTCGAACTCACAAACCATGAGATCATGACCTGAGCCGAAGGCAGCCGCTTAACCAACTGAGCCACCCAGGCGCCTCCTTTTTTTTTTTTTTTTTTTTTTTTTGATCCATTTGAAGGGACACTGAAGACCTGCTACACGCCCCCCCGCCCCCCCCCCCCCCCACCTCCCCGATACTTAAACAATACGTATCATTGGCTAGAGTGCTTATTTTCTTTTGAGGTAACATTTGCAGTGAAATGCACGAATCTTAAGAGGACCACAAACACAGATCCCTGTGAAACCCAAAGCCTTATCAAGATACCGAAAAATGCCTTCACTTCAGCCCCTTCCCAGTCAGCCCTGCCCCCACCTGCTCAGAGGTAAGCCTTACTCTGATTACTGTTGGTCCTACAGGGTTGGTCCTGTCTGTTCTAGAACACCACGGGAAAGGACTCTTGTGCTACACTCAACCACCTTGTTAAGCTGGGGAGCGTAAGAGTTTAGGTCCTGGGTGGGGAGGTATGTGCTGAATCCCATTAGCCAGGCCCTGCTCTGGTCTTCTATCAAGGGAGGTAGATCAATCAGGAGGCCTTCCTGGAGAAGGTGGCATTGCTGCCTCTCTCTGGCCCCCTTCCTGCCTGTCTGGTTTACTCCTCCGCAGCCCCTTCGTGGGCCCCCTTCTCCGCTCTCTGGTGCTGCTGAGCATGTGGCTAGACCAGAGCTTAGAAATCAGCCAGCTCCAACCCACAGACAGGTTTTATTTGGCCCACACAGTATTTTTTTTTCATATTTGAATTAGTTTTAACATTTAAGAGCTGAGGGATTTTGCTTTTAAAAATATCCACGTTTCTGTCTTCTCCTGGAAATTTGAAACATCTGGCAGTGTTGTGCCCCTCTTCCCGGATGGCAGGCATTGACTGACACTAGATAGAAACAACCATGTACTCTGAGCCCTCCTCCGCTCGCAGGGGGGTGGGGGAGGGCGGTTCTCAGGCACCCAAGCCCTGACTGGGATGGATGTTTGGGCTTAACCAGTAAAGGCTAGAAGCAATCCCCTAAAGAATGTAAACCGTTATGGGACTCAAACCATATGTGAGAGAGACAGACAGACACAAGAGAAAGAGCCACAGGGAGAAAGAGGGAGATTGAGTCAACAAACCTTTTTCTTTTCTTTAAAAAATTTTGTTTAATGTTTATTTATTTGTGTGAGAGAGAGAGAGAGAGAATGTGAGCAGAGGAAGGGCAGAGAGAGAGGAAGACACAGAATGGGAAGCAGGCTCCAGGCTCTGAGCCGTCAGCACAGAGCCCGACATGGGGCTGGAACTCACGGACTGTGAGATCATGACCTGAGCTGAAGTCGGACACCTAACCAACTGAGCCACCAAGGCGCCCCAACAAACCTCTTTCTGAGGGGAGTGAAAGGGAGAGGTATGTACCTGTGTGTGTGTGTGTATGTGTGTGTGTGTGTCTGTCTGTTGATGCATGCAGCATGCTGGGGGAGCGGTGCAGGAACAAAACACTGAGCTCCCCCTGGAAGCCAATATAACCTACTTCCACTTTATTTATTTATTTATTTATTTATTTATTTATTTATTTTTACCTACTTCCACTTTAGTAGTAGTTACTCCTTTTCTTTTTAAATCTTTATTTTTGAGAGAGAGAGGGAGACAGAATCTGAAGCAGGCTCCAGGCTCTGAGCCATCAGCCCAGAGCCCGACGCGGGGCTCGAACTCACGGACCGCGAGATCTTGACCTGAGCTGAAGTCAGAGGTTTAACTGACTGAGCCACCCGGGTGCCCCACTCCTTTTCTAACACCAACCCACGTGGACCCCTGGAATTCAAGATTAGTGGTTGTGTGTGTGTGTGTGTGTGTGTGTGTTTCGATTGCAAGTCAAGACCCATTAGCCAGTCATGAAAAATTTAGGAGGTTGTGACCAGATTTTTATTTCTGAAACAGAATAAACATGGAGGATGTTGGAGAGCAATGTGCTTAGCGGAGGTCAGTTTTGTTTATGAAACTTTCACTTCAGAAGTGTATACACATGTGTGTGTGCCAGATCACGTTGTAAAACGTATTTGTCAGTGTGGCTGAGGTCCCACGAGTTGACAAGCGTCTACCCTCAAATATGATCTATATGGGGAGGGTGGACACAAGGCCAGATGGTGGGAGACATGAAAGCAGGACTTAGGGTGTTTATTTGACTTGATCTGATGGGCAATAGGGAGCCACTGAGTGCTCTTGAGTCGCTGACTCACAGTGACCACCTCACTCCACCCACACTTACACATGCCCAACTACACACATTAGGAATTTGAAATTCTTCTCTCCTTTAGCAAGTTCTGCTGGTTCTGTAAACATTGGCTGTGGATATGATATAGATTATCCGATAAGGGCTTTTAGGACAGGCTAATCTCACCTCTTTCAGCTCATTTTACAGACAGGGAAACAGAGACTCCAAGATCAGAAATCACTAGCCTGGGGTCACTTAGCACAACTCATGGCTTCTCATCTCAGGAATGTCATTGTCTCCAGGTCCTATGCAGCCTGTCTGGTTGGGGACAGTGGAGGACATGACTCCAGCCACTGGATTTGGACTTGCAGGTGGGCTGGAGAAGACCAGGGCAGTGATGATGAGTGTGTGTGTGATGAGGGCAACTACCTTTACTCTTCTGTATTCATCATCACCACCACCATCAACATCATCATCATCACCATCATTATCCTGTCATTCCCATCAGCACCATCACCATAACCGTCAACACCACCACCATCATCATCATCACTATCACCATAATCACCTTCACCATCATCATCACCATCACTATGATCACCGTCACCATTAACATCATCATCACTATCACCGTCATCACCACCACCATCACCACCGTCATCATCACCATCATCACCACCACCATCATCATAATCACCATCACCACTATCACTATCACCATCATCACTATCACCATCATCATCATCATCACCATCATCACCACCACCATCATCATCATCACCATCATCACCACCACCATCATCACCATCACCACCATCATCACCATCATCACCACCATCAGCATCAGCATCACCATCACCACCATGACCACCATCATCATCACCACCATCATCATCACCATCATCACCACCATCAGCATCACCATCACCATCACCACCATGACCACCATCATCATTATCACCACCATCATCATCACCATCATCACCACCATCAGCATCACCATCAGCATCACCACCATCAGCATCACTGTCATCATCACCATCATCACCATCATCACCATCATCATCATCACCATCACCACCATCATCACCACCACCATCATCATCATCACTATCACCATCATCACTATTACCATAATCACTGTCACCACCATCAGTAGCATCACTATCGCCAACACCATCATCACCATCAGCACTATCACCATAATCACCTTCACCGTCATCATCACCATCACCACCATCATCACCATCACCACCATCATCACCATCACTATCATCCCCAGCATTAAACATTATTTTTCTCTGAGTAATGGAATGGGTAACTACCTATCCCCAGCCCTTTCTCACCAATCTGGGGCACAATATTGGGATGAGAATTCTAGGTGGGGTACTAACCTCCCCTTTTTCCTCCTGCCCATCTCAGTCCTTGCAGGGGAGGCCAGGGGTGGGGACCCCACATGGCAAAGTCTAGCCTAGCTCTACAAGGGTGGGAGGTTCTCTGGGGCAATTTCTGGGAACCTTAGTTTTAGCTACAACAGTGACTGCCCGGACAGTAATGTCAAAGTGGCTGGGTCCCCTCCAAGGGTCTCTACTTCCCAACTTACTGGTGTGGCATCAGTGGGTTCCTGTGAGACTCAACATCGAGAGTGGCTGGAAAAATACTTTATAAACTGTAAAGTGAATGGCAAGGAATAGGGGGAGTGGGAAATCCTTATGTACATTGAAGTAATCCTTAATGAGCTTGGACAGGTTCTTAAACACCTGTCAGGCATTCTTATAAGGATGGGAGGGGGTCCCTGGAGAGATGAGCCGGGTTCTATCTAGGGGTAGGAGGGGTCCTTAACACTGGTATGCAGGGCGTACCTTCTAGAGTGGTCTGCACACATAGGAAGGTTTGTTGACAGAAGATGTGCTCTTATACACACTTACAAACGCGGGGCTTCTATCCACATGGCATCGTTGATAAGCCAGAGTACCCTCACACACAGAAATGAAGGTTTTTTTATGGGTGCAATTGACCGCCATTTGGAAAATGCTGTGCAAATACTTAGCGACCTTTGCACAGACCTAAAAATTCTTCCTAGAGATAAAGGCATCTTTCTGCCGCTGCAGGGTGAGATCACAGTGTGAGCGGCCTCATTCGGACAAGGCCGTCGCCGGACCGAGTGGTACCTGCGCCCGCCACGGGTGGGAGCCGTCACCGAGGGGCGGAGCGCTGGGGGCCCGCTTGCGGCGCCGCAGTCCCCCCGGCAGCCACCAGGGGCAGCACGGTCCCCGCCTGGCCCGCGCCTCCCCCCTCCTCCCCCAATCTCCGCCCCCCACCCTCTCCCTCCCCCTGCTCCGCTCCCCTGAGCCCCGCCAGACCCCGCTCCGCCCGCGCCCCGCTCCGCTGTCGAGGCTCCCGCAGCCCCCGGCATTCGTCCCGCTGCGCCCTCCCCGGGGGCTATGGGGGCGCCCCCGGGCTACCGACCCTCGGCTTGGGTGCATTTGCTCCACCAGCTGCCCCGCGCCGACTTCCAGCTCCGCCCGGTACCCAGCGGCTTCGCGCCCCAAGAGCAGGAATACCAGCAGGTGGGAGCGGGCGCGGGGGTCCTGGGGGCGGGGGCGCGGAGGGTGGGCAGAGCTGAGGGGTCCCGAGGGAGGAGGGGGCTGGGTGGCAGAGTCCTGTGTTCTCCGCAGGTGGGAGCCGGGCCCGGACTTCGGGGTATCTGAAAGAGCAGGACGTGAGGCTCCCCTACCTGGAGGTTCCCCTGGGACGGGCGCTGGGGGCCGGAGCCCTGGCCCCTTAAGTGAGGGAGGGCCCGGGGCCTGGACCCCTCAGTCCCACAGGGAAGGGACCCCAGGGTTTCGGGAGCTGTCTGGGAAGCGAGCCTCCAGGGCCACCAGGGAGACAGGTCCACTCTCCGTGTCCTAAAAGATGACCCCTCCCCTGATAGGGTTGGGGCAGTCCAGGTGAATATGTGCCAGGTAAGGTACGACTTGGGAGAGACAGGAACCCATCGCGGTGGGGAGGAAGAAGGCCGGGGTGCCTCGGTCCAGGACGGGATTGAGACCTGAAATGGGGAAGGGGCGTGAGGGGTTCAGGGCCAGGGATGGGGGACTGAGCTGGTGGTCCTGGCAGAGGAAGCTTGCAGCCCGTATGTACATTCTGGGGTGTGTGTGTG